TCAGACACGAAATAAAATAGGAAAAAAAATTTAAATAAAATATTTATGGTTTGTAATTTGTCCTTTATAATGTGAATATCTTGTGTGGTGCATCTTATTGCTTTAAGCTGTGTTCTATTTGCATTTCACTGAATGTACGAGCGAGTATTCAAGGTTCTGTATTTGCCATTGCCTTGATCTTTTCAAAATGTACTCTTTCTATGCAAATATTTTTATTATCATCTGCAATTCTTACTGCATAAGTTTTTTAAATTTTAGTTACAACATATCTGCATATCTGCATATCTGGCAACAAATTTCAATTAAGTTCTCTCCCAAGAAGCTATGCCGTAAAGATAGTGAAACGCAAAGGAAGCAATAGTTAACTATCAAATTAATTTTGTATCCTTGCTTTTTTATGGAGCAGATAAATATAATTTTTAGTTCTTTTTGAAATATATTTTTGTTTCACTTGATTATTACTTTTTTATGTTTAGATTTTATTTTTTCAGTCTGCACTGTTACTTCGAATGACAATTAAAAAATTCTTTAAAAAAACGATCAACTGAAAGGAGGAAAATTATCTTAAGCATTTTAGTTGAGTGCATGCAGCAGCTCCATATGAATTCATGAAATTGTCGAAAAGCAAGTTTGGCTTTGACAAAACAGAAAATCAAAATAGCAACTGAATTAATATTGTATCTGTTTTTCTTTTATCTTCTGTTATTTTTTCTTTTTTATTTTTTACATTTTTATTATTATTTTCTTTTATAACCTTATATTTTCATTTATTTTCTTTAGAGTTCCTTAGAAACTAAGCAAAAGCACAAACATTAGCAGGCAAGCCATGCATTGATAAGATAACCAGGCAGGCAACCAAGCTGACATTTCAGCTAGCTCAGCACCATTGTGAACCTCCAGCAAAGGAGGAGCACAAAAACAATGTGACCATGTGCAAGGATGCAGTGGGAGTAACAGCAAGATATTCAGATACATTCTACTCCTTTGGCTTAGAATGCAACTGCAAAGGCAAACTTCAGAAACATATATAGTTGGGATGAATCTACATTCTGCTTATTTTTGCTCTTTAAAACGTTTAAATTTTACGAGAACGAGTATGCTGCTTGTGAGATATTGTATTTCAAATAGTTTTTGTTTGCAGTTCATAATGCGATAAGTCTTATTTATTTATTTCGACTAGAAACAAAAACTTAAGTAAAATCAGAATTAGACAGTTATTGTCTATTTGTTTTGTAATTTTGTAATTATCACTTATTTGCTATATAGTCTCATTTGAAAATTATTTGTAACACAAATAAACTTGAAAATTGTTGTTACTTGTAGATAATGAATATCAAATAGAATTTTCTAGAAGTTCTTCCTCGAAAATTTAAGAAAACTTTGACAGCTACTCAAAATCATTGTAAATAATATCTCAAATTTCTCTAATTGAGTTAATGCATAACATTTTTTTTCTTTGTTCAATCTGAAGCAACTAGTTGAGGCTTCTTTTGTCTTTAGCTTCATCTATTATATTTCATCATCAATTATATTACAAATTTGTTAGATATTAATTACTTAATATCTACTTCTTCAACTTATGCGCATCTAATGGGTTTTATAATTAAAAATAAAAAAGAATCTTTACAAACGTATTCATACATAGAAAGGGGAAATGAATTGGTACAGAACCGAAACTGATGATTCTTGTTTATTTTTGTAAAATTATTTAAACTGATAATATGATAAAAAAAAAAACTATTTTTTATTGTGTCAGAAAATAGAATAAAGTTGGATAAGGCCTCTAATCAAATTTTCTGTGACTATCCGGCAGTAATCTATAGTAGAAGAAGATTTTTGAGCCAGAAGATTCTATCCTCATCTTATGTTAAAACATTCAACAGAAAATCTGGTTTCTAGTAGAAAATCTGGTTGAGTAGAATGTCTGCTATTCAGTTGAAGTTGAATTATCGCATCTCAGATTGGTAACAGGTTCCTCGGGCAGGTATGCGGCTCTGAATTTAGTTATTGCGTAGTCTGATGAAGTAATAAACAGTAATCCAGTCAAAGCGTAGAGAGAGGTTATGAAGAAAAGATCAGTAATGATCGGAGAACTTCATTATTGGAGTTACTGGAGTTTCCATTCGCAGCTAGTTATCTATAGTGATTTTAATTTTATTATTATAACAGTCCGCATATATAACGAAATCTTAAAACACTCTGCAGCTTTTAGTGTGAGGCAAACGTACAGATATTGTTTGTTAAGGCGGTAAGTGGGGTTTAATTGTTTCCAAGAAAAGCAGAGTATCTGATTATATTGAATAGAACAAGTTGATGACGGCTTTAAGTGAGCGTTTAGCTCATATTTTTCTAACCTTTTTGTGTAGTACGTCCTACGTAAGATATTCAATATTCAGTATTTTCAGTTTAGGAAATAAAATAAAATAAATGTAGTATATTAAAGTAGTCTTGCCTAAGCCCTTGTGCCTTGTCACATTAAAAATCTTAAAGCTTTTATTTGAAGTGCTTTGAAAACTACTTAAATGCGATCTAAAAATACTGTAAACTGCAGAGAGGAAGAAAAAAGGAAACTAACATCCTTTAATCTAGACAATTTTTAATGCTTTTAAATATTTATTTATTTTAACTTCAGCCACAAATTGGTAAAGTTTCTGTGGCATCTTTAAAACGTTGCGGCTTATTTTAATGAGTTTTCATTTACGCTTAAATTGTTGCCTTTTTATAATTTATTATCAGCTTACAGGACACGTAACCTTGTGCATGTAAAACCTTTTTTGTGAAAGTTTTCATTTTTATACATTTTTTGCTTAATTTTTTATATTTTATTTTTGCTGATTTTCGTGTGCATTTTCTAACAAAATCTTTTGCTTTTACTCCTGTCCCTTTAGTCTTGCTATTTCGTGTGGTTTTTCCTCTTCGGTTTTAGGTAATAATATTGGAGCGTCAGACGCATTGCCCAAGACATAATGGTCCTGAGATTTTTTACATTAATATGTATGGCGCGTTTAATGTACAATCAATTTATGTGGGTTGGCAGTTGATTTTCGGTTTAAACGCTCAGGATATTCACTGTTTTATGACGGCAGTGCGGTCACAGCGAGCATTTTAAATCAGACTTGCAAAGCAATACTTTAAAGCTCTAATCATAAATATGTACATATATTCATAAAGGATGTTGCAGATAATAATTAAATACATATGAATTGAATGTGAGTATATTAATCTTTTTTGCAATTAATTTTTATATTTCTAAAAAGAATCTATAATAAAAGATTAGATTAGGTTTAAGAATGAACCTGTGATTTATGTCACATAAATTACCTATTAGTATATTGCGTTATTTTAGAGCTTTTATTTTAGGATGTCTGTCCCACCAGTTTCTTTCAGATTTCCACCAATTTATTTGATTGGTTTCTAAGAGGGTTGTAGTCGTAATATTATGATATCTAGACAATGTATCATCTAATTAATACAATAAACTAAACAAAAACTCAAGTTAAATAAATGAAAAATATTTATTTCGATAACAACTTGAGTATTAGTGTAGAATATGGCATCAATTCTTGATATATGTATGTAGTACATAAGCGACAATAGGCCTTTTCTTTTGTAAGCATATCGGAAAAGAACAACATAAGCATTACCTCTGATGGTAACCCTGGAAGAACTGGAAAGTTTGTTAGGTTTATTTGAGCAAACCGGGTAATAATATTAGAAGTTAAAACTTAGAAAATGAATAATAATTCTTTGCAATTATGGGTTGGAATATTTTAGATTAGCACTAACTATGGGTGCACTCCTTAGATCAGCACTAACTAAAATTAACCTTATGTATTGTTTTTAAAATTTCAAATTTTAAGTTGGAACAGATTCATAAATTGAGTTGAATTATTATAGCAATATTTTAAATTGAAATACTCGATTGGAAAATCATTTTAATTATTATTATTTTCAATTTATTTTCCAGGAGCTTTAGGATTCTGAAAAAGGTTCTCAGTTCGATCTATTGCTTGCTATAGGTCACAGCTCATTAAACGATATCTCAGTTACCCAATTAATAAAAGTAATTTAGTGTAAGGTATTACGAATAGTTTCTTACATCTATTGACTATTTATACATACTCTGTAGAAGAATAAGAAGTAAAATAGCTGTAAATTGTTGTGAGTGATTTCTTACATTTATTTTTTATATATTTAAACTACATAGAAGAATTAGAATTCGAATAGGTGTAAGTTGTCTTTAGTGCTTCTTGAAACTAAATGCTTATTTATCTAAATTTTTTAAAGGAATTTAAATTAAAATATGCATACGTATAAGTCCCAGCAATTATTTTTTTGAAGATATTTATCTAAACTTTTTAAAAGAATTTAAATTGAAATATGCATAGGCATAAGTCCTACGAGTTATTTTTTTAAAGATATTTATCTACATTTTTTAAAAAAAAAAATTTAAATTGAAATATGCATAAGTATAAGTCCCAGCAATTATTTTTTTAAAGATATTTATCTAAACATTTTAAAAGAATTTAAATTGAAATATGCATAGACATAAGTCCTAGGAGTTATTTTTTTAGAAATTTATCTACATTTTTTAAAAGAATTTAAATTGAAATATACATAGGTATAAGTCCCAGGAGTTATTTTTTTGAAGATATTTATCTACATTTTTTAAAATAATTTAAATTGAAATATGCATAGGCATAAGTCCCAGCAATTATTTTTATGAAGATATTTATCTAAACTTTTTAAAAGAATTTGAATTGAAATATGCATAGGCATAAGTCCCAGAATTTCTTTATTGAAGAATTTTGAATTATATTAATTGAATTTAAAAATTTTTTTATTACAATATTTTATGATGGATAATTTATTGACATAAAATTGACACAGCATTAATATAAAAATTTATTTAATAATTATATTAATTCCTATTAATTGTCATGGAAAAAATATATTGATAGCAAAAAAATTATTTAAATTTATTTATTAAGAGAACTCACCTTAAGCACAAATATTTCACCAGTTGTACGATTTATGTCAAATTTGCTATTAGCTGGATTATCCGGATCAATGCCTTGACCAGTCAAAAAGTAAACAATATTTTGCGGTCTGTCCTTATCGCCATCAGTGGCTGTGACCTGCTTTCCAGTACAGTGCAGTGCAGTTTGAATTTTGAATAAAAAAAAAATTTACACAAAATATTGATAATTAATATGTGAAAGATGAAACTGTTTATAAACAATATTTTTTTTATTAATCATAAAAGTAACAATAAAAAAAGTACATTAAAAAATAACACTAAAAGTTAATGAAATTAAAATGAAATTTATTTTATTTTTTACAGGCGACAACACAAGAAAGTGAATAAAAAAAATTGAGGCGTTAATTAAGCAATAAAAGTGCTACAATAATTGTTTTATTGACGACAATTACTACAAAAAAAAATTAAAATAAAATTTTTAATTATTTACAATTATTTATTAATAAAATTATAAATTTACAAAAATACAAATAGCAATTGGAATAAAAATATTATTTTGAAATTAATATTTAGTTAGCAATAATTGACATATTTTTTAAGATAACTACTTCATTATTAGTGACGCGTTAATGCATCAGTGAGTTAACATGCAAATGTAATGAGTCTATGAACAATAGTATTTGAGGCATAATGATATTTACTGATAGCTGCACCTATTGTAAGCGTACATAGCACAGTAACTCTGAATAAAAGAATCAAAACGTGATTAATGTAGCTACTCATACGCCTTTGTATCTGGATAGTGAAATCAAGATACATGGCAGTTACTGTGGTATTTATGAATGCATATTTATGCACACTGCCAACAATGCGTGTAAGTAATTCAAGCATAAACTCTCAAGAAACAATCCCATGGTTCGGTACGGATACTATGTGTATGTATGTGTATCTAGCTAACCATAAGTACGCATTGTATTCGCATACTAAATAGCTCGGCAGATATAAGTACTTAACTGGAACAGCTGCAGCTGCCATACAAACACAATAATAAACACAAACCAACACTAAACCAATAAAAATGGCGTTTTAACTGTCAATGAAATGTGGCGATGTGCCAATGTGCCGATGTGCCAATGTACCAATGCACCAGTGTTTCTATGTTCAAATGTTCTACGGAGTGTTTATATGCTTTTGTGTTTGCTTTTTTCAAGCAATTTAAAACTTCATATTTTGTGTTTGTTTTTGTGTTTGCCTTTGTTCTTGTTTTTCTATTTGTTTTTGTTTTTGTTTTTACATTGTTATTTTCTATAACTCCTTTTTTCTTTTTTTCTTTGTGGTACATTGTTTGAGTGTTGGATTTTGTAGTTTTGTGCAATTTTTGTGTGTTTTGTGTGTACTTTTTCTGTAATAACAAATTTTTCTGTTACCTGCAGCACGTAAGGAACTGTTGCTGTGAGTATTGAGTTTAAGCGTTTATGTGTTCATGTGTTTATCGTATTAAATACTTATGCATACAAAAAGAGTTTTATTGTTGCAATTTGTGCAAGCATCGATTGCAGATACTTGATAAGTATGCATAAGTATATGACAATGTGTAACTACTTTTAGTTTTATATTCTGTCAGTATCTAAGTTTTATGGTTAAGCTTAATGTTGAAATTTACGAGCATTTCTTTGCATTTCCTACACCTGTATCTTTTAACAAAATTTTTATCATTGCAATTGTATGCTTCTTCTATACAGATTAATATATACATATATATTGAGATATGATATAACAAGTACAGTTAAGATATAAATATTTCATATAAAATGTATGCACATTAAGTTATTATTTACAAATTTAAAATTTTGTGAAATTTATATATTCCACAACTAAGTATTAATATGAAATAATGATGTATTTAAGAAAAAAACAATTATATAATATACATATATTTATTTAATGTAATAATATACATAATACTTAATTAAAACTAATGGTCTTTGAAAATAATCGAATTTTATTTAATGAGTTTATAGTCCGTATATAGTATAATTTGTTTGGACTGCAAGTGCCAGGCTTAGAACTCGTGCCTGTCAAATTAGAAGCGATGACTAATCGTGTTTATCCACAAATAGCTAAGGCTGCACAAATTTTCAATGCTCAAATTCCAGGTTTTGTCACTTACACTAAAACACATTTAAACATATCAAGATTGATATTTTAAGCTTTTAATTAATTTTTAAAGCGTTAAATGTTAAGAAGACTCAGATTTATGCAATTACTTCTTAAATCTATCAGTTATTATGCATAAAAAAATTGGTGTTTTTTTTTTAAATTATTGTTTAAAGTCAGTTTTAACGATTTAAACTATTTCAAATAAAATAAATAATAGTTTTTATGAAAATTTTTTCGATTTAATGCAAATACATTTTAAAACGCTTACCATAAAAAATATAATTTTATATATCAATAAATTTTGTAAATAATCTATTTTCAATATTAAGTTATAATATATTTTACGCTTAGCAAAAATACATTATAAAATATTCGTATCAGTTAAATTCTAAAATTTAGAAATTATAATCGACATTAGCGAATGCGATTTTAGCGAAATTTTGTGATTTTATCACAACACTCGTATAATAATAAATGCAACTAAATTTTCTAATTTCTAATACATAAACGGCAGAATGAAAACTAATTTTAATATTAAAATGAAAACCGATAAATACACATATTAATGCAAATGTTTAGAAACAAAATATCTCATTTATGTATATAACATGAAGGCTATTTTATCATTTTCAATTAATTTTAAAATGCAGATGAGGCATTTTTCTGTCTTTGATTCGAAAAAAGTGTTAAATTTTTATTTTTATTTTCATTTTAATTTTCTAGTTTTTGTAATGGAATTTCATACATCGTTTATTAAGTGAATTATTGCATTCTTCATAAATAAATGCATTCCATTTTGCTGAATAAATAATGTTGATTAAGTAGTCATAAATTAAGCAAATAATAGGCAAACACTTCAATTGTTGAGAAGAATATTTTTAAATGGATTTTGAAATGGTTTTTTAATTTTGAAATAATTTTAAATTAACTTAAAATAATTTTTTCAAAAAGTGTGTATATTTAAAGAGAAGTGATTAAGTAATGAAAGGCAATTTTTGTTACTAACAGATAATTAGATATATAATTGTAATTCTTTTCTTTATTCATAATTTGAAAAACTTATTAACCTGAAGAATATAAAACGTTAGAAAAAAATCGCAAAACTTACTTGAAGTTGAAAAAAATTAAATTTCATAACACATACTTTTTTTACTTAAATAATAAATTCTTAAATAAATAATTTCTTAATTATGGACATAAAATAAAATTTACAAAAAAAAAAAAAAATACTAGCCCACGTTATTTTTAAAATATTCTATTTAAGTTTTAATGAATATTACTAAAAATAACATTTAAAAATATTAAAATATTTAAAATATTATCTTGTAGTTAATTATTCTATTAAATAAAAAACAACATAAACAAAAAAGGAGAATAATGTTAGTATATTTTATAAAAATTCGAAATAATATGAACTAAATCTGTTAGAATTTGAAAAGATTACTGAAATAATGTCTAAAGTATTAGTTTATATACGATGAGTCCAACTCCGAAATGAATATAATTTTATTCATATTTTAAATAGAATATTGTTAACCATCACCCATAATTTTATGTGAACGTAATTTTTTCCAATGATTTATTTACAAAATTGTATTTTTTTGTTAATTAGTAAATTTCTTACTCACAAAAATTTTTTTTTTATTATTATTATTATACAAATATGTACAACAACAAAATATATTTAATTCAAAATTTTATTTATTAAATGTTTAAAATGCTTTGTTTAAAATTATTATAATCTTGAATTGAAATGTTTAAATTAAATATTTTAACGACAATGCAATATCAAAAGAATTTATTTAAAAAAAAAATTTATGAAAATTTATTTTATAAGTAATATATATATTATATGAAATATATACTTATGAAAGTTGCAGTGTAAAACTATATTGTACAAAACCAAAAAAAATTCAACGACTTGGTTCAATTTATTTATTTTTTATCCTTTTTAATATTAACTAATTTTACTTTAAAATTATCTATATAAAAAATTAAGGACTAAACTCACAGGTTGTTGCAGAAATTTTTCAATGAGTCCATAATTCTTTATGCTTCATGATTAGCCATCATGATCCAAAGGAACGAGTTCTCTTTCGATTATTATCTATTATGAACTCAGTGCTGTAAGCAAAAAAATCTGTGATATTGGATCATTTGGAAGCTAAAAGTTGCAGAGTCATTGCCGATATACGTTCATACGACATCTGATTTTGGATTGCATTTCATTACTCGAAATTATATTTTAACATTATAATATTATCAATCGAAATATGAGTACTACCATTTATAGTTTGGAGTATGTTTTATTTAATTTTGCAAATTAAAGCTGCCATAAATCAAAATCATTTTAGAGTCAAAATTTGTAGAGTTATTGCCGATATACGAACTTACGACATCACTTTGAACTCTTAGATTGCATTTCAGGGCTCGGAAACGTATTTGAGCATTATTGCAATATTAACTTATATTATCAATCAAAGTATTTTTATGGACATGTCCATTGTTTCAATGCGTTTTTGTTTTATATTAAAAAACAAATCTTAGGTAATTCAGATATATTAGATAACTTGGGAATCAACATACGCAAAGTTTCGGATTTCGAATTGCATTTCGTTCGAACCAGTTGCTGCGTTCATGTTGCTCGAAACTATACATTCAAAGTTTAATGTCATTCAACTATATATCGTATAAAACTATTTTTACAGGCATTATCATAATTTCAATGTATTTAGTTTCATTTAAGTAATTAATCCTCTATAAAATATGCCTTTTTCATTATTTGCAAAGCTTCTTCTTAGTACATTAAGACTTTTAACTTATTCAATTTAAATCCTTTTGATATTGCATTATAATTAAATTTAATTTTATAAATCTTGTTGTAAAACAAAGCATTTTTAATAATAAATACTTAGTTTCTGTTTAGACCTGCAACATGGTAAATGGCGTTTTCATTTCTTCATCCAAAGTTTGCTCGTACAGAGTCTGTGGAAAAACTGGCGGCAAATCGTTCACATCGCGTATATATATAACAATTGTGGTTTGGTTTTCATTTAAGCTATCGGAAGCAACCAATTTTAACTCATACTTTAAAAATATGGAAAAAAAAAATGAAAATAACAAAAATAAATCATATTAAAAAAAATTACTTATAAATAAAATTAAATATTGAATTTAATTTTGTTTAATATTACACAACAAAAAAAATTAAAAATAATAATAATAATTTAAAATTTAAATAATTAAATTAAATTCTTAAAAATAACAAACGATGAATTAAATTTACGCCAAAAGTGACAAGTCTCATGAAATATATATAAACAAATTAATTAACATAACTGAAAAAACAAGAAGGAAATATTCATGTATTCGATTTTATGGATGAAATGTTTTTACATATATAAAAATGAAATTGAAAATGAAAATGAAAATTATATGTTAATATACATTATGTCCATTTACATTGTTGCTGCCGTTGAAGTATACAACATGAATCACGTTTTCAATAATTAATTTTTTAATTTTCTTTATGTTTCTCAATATTGAGGTTAACGTTTTCCTGTTCTACTGACATCCTGTTTTATGCCCCTGTTTTAATTTTTTTTAATTTTGTTTTTTGTTTTTCGGTTTGTAATTTTGTACTTGGGTTTTCACCAACATTGCTTCATAATCAATTAATTAATTAATTTATTAATATTCAATTCATAGCAATGTATCTTTCTGTTTAATTTTATAAACTGTAAAATTTATTTTGTACTTAATCGCTGTCGTTTTAACTCTCGTGCCACATAAAAATTAATTACATTTTCAATTACCGCGTTGAAAAATTTATTGTTTTGCATCGCATCGCATTGCTGTTTTCTGCTTTTTCTGCTTTTTCTGCTTTTTTTATTATTTTGTAACGGATATCAGATACAAATTCTGTATCTGTGAGTGAGAAGTGAGAAAAACTATTATAAATATTTGTTGTGAAATGGGAGAGAGAAGAAGAGAAAAAAGGACGAAGTTGGTTAACATTGCGGCAAGTGAAAAAATTGTGTGTGTTTCGGTGGCCACAATTTGCGCACCACACTTGGCGTTTTATTGTCGCTGGAGCGCCATTTTGTTGGCTGTCGGTTGATTGTTTGCCATTACGGTTAACTGTACAGGCCTTTGCTTGAAATTTTAAAATTTTAATGAATGAAAATGTATAGCTGTGTCCTTCCACTCACTATACCCAATATCGTTTTTCAATATGTGAGATTTATTTATTTTCATTCTTTTACATTATTTTAAACATTCACAACAATAATTTCGCTCGTGTGCTTAATTATTTCATCAAATTATTGCACATCCTTAAAATATAGCTAATTAAAAATTTTAAATAAACCATCTATATATAAGAAACAAAACTATTTATAACGAATGACATTCTCAGCGATTGATCAAGATTGATACGATCAAAAAATGCATAAAGCATAGAGCCCTGAAACTATTTACGAAAACTGACAGGCTCCTCGGGGAGGTATGCAGATCTGAGGTCAGTTATTGTTTAGTCTGATGAAGTGATAAACAATAATACAGTCAAGGCGTCGAGACGGATTATGAAGAAACTTCGCAGTTAATAGAGAGTAAAAGTGCTTAAATGCACTGACTCAACTAGCCTCAACAAAATAATAAGGTCGACTGTTGTATCTGTACTTAAAAACAAAAAATATAATTATTTAAAAGAGCTAAACCTGATTTTATCCGAATTTTTTTGTGGAATATTTAGTTGTTAAACTAATCTGTATTGTACAGTACTGATAATACAGTCTGCATAAGTATCGTATATAAAGTACTTAAGAAGGATGGGAGATATTTCAAAAGCAGAGGCAATTAAGGTGAACAGTTTATCTGAGTCAATAATCAAAATAATAAAGTTTTCGATTTCAGCAGACTTAAACTCAGGTCAATTACCAATTTTTCAGGATGAAACTTAAAGACATTGATATTTACAGATATTGTCAAGTGCAAAGTCTTTCAAGATAATTAAGTGTTTTAATACGGGTTCCACAACATCGAATAGGGTTCGGAATTTTGAACCGATTATAATATATAATCATATTTCTAATGAGTGTTGAAGTTAATGAGTTTGAAGTTAATAGTCATAGATGATAGTAACGTATGCACTAATAATGGGAAGCACACATATAGAAATAAATATATAATTGAGAGTTTCTGTGTTACTACAGACTGTAAAACAGGAAACACTACTGTAGTGATCATATGCTTATATTAATTATCTAATAAATAAATAATTAGGAGTTCGTTGCTATTTTTTAATACATTTTTGAGTCCACAAGACATTTTATATAAATGTTTTTATATAAATAATATAACTATTATTTATAAGTCAATCAATATCAGATATATCATTCCATTTTATCGTTCTCATATCGTATGTAAATATATGATATCACAAATATACATTTTATATAAGTATCTTACTATTATTTGTGATGTTTGCATGATTTGTTAAAACATATTTAGGGAAGTACTTAATTCGAAAAAAAAAGCATAAATAATCTCATTGGCATATTAAATGCTTATTATTAAAAAATATCATTATTAAAAAATAGTTATTAAAAATATATCACTATGATAACTATGCAGTAAAAATATGTAAATAAAAAAGCGAAAAGCAGATTTGAAAATGTTTAAAGCTCTAACCAAAATTCAAAAACTAAGAATATAAAGAATATAAAAAAAGCTGCGAACATTGCAGTGACATTTTGGTTATTAAATTTGAAATTTTATTATAAAAATATATGAATTCATAAAAAAATTAAAAGTCATAAATTACAAAATCAATTAACAAGTCTTAATTAAAATTTATAAGCGCTTAATAAAAACAAAAAAAAAAAAACAGACAAAAACACGTTGCAAAAAATGTGTAAAATTGCCATGCATAAATGATAAAAATCTAGTCAAATAAATGTATTTTATTTTTAATATATCATTTATACTAAAACTTATATCAATAAACTATAAACTACAAATTAATAGTCATAATCAATCATAAACGCTCATAAACGCTGATAGTGCAGCTTAACTTGGTGGGAGAACAAATTGCGGATGAAATGGGAAAGTATTTTGGGGGAACCAACGAGCAAACACTAAATTGACTAAATTGGCAAAATTGAGAAAAAAAATTAAATAAAATTTTGCAAACACTAAAAACAATCTATAAAAAACAATGAAAAACTGAAGTTAAAATCAGAACGTTCAAAGGCAAATTGATGTAACCTGTAAGACACGTTTGGGTAAATTGCGATCATCTTCCTCAGTGATTTGTGTACGGTAAGTGGGTCGCTCAAAGACGGGTGGATTATCGTTGACATCCTTGACATGAATTATGACCGTCGTATAGTTTTCCTTCAAATTATCGGATGCAGCTAAACGAAGCTCATACTAAATGGTTGCGGCAAATGGTAAATATATAAAAAATATTACAAAAATATAGTTTTTTTTTTAATTTTTAATTATTATTCTCAATATGCACAATGAAAAATTAAAGTAAATTATGTGTTCTTTGTAAATATATGAACTAATAACGAAACTGAAATTAAGTTACTTTAATATAAAATTTATATTAAATATGAAATATTAAAAAATAAAACAAAACACATTGACTTTTATCCAAAAATAAATATTCATTGAAGACATTCAAAAAATATTTAAAATAAATTTTAGTGGAAAAAAGAAAAATAAATAATGTAAATAACTAATATTTCTAACTGGTTTATATTTTTTAAAAGCTTCAGATAAATGTCCAAAAAAACATTGTTTTTATATAAAATAATATTACACTGTCACCTAATAACTAATGTCATAAAATAGAAATCTTTGAAAATTTTTAAATATTTTATCTTGAAACAAAAAATTAATTTAAAATTTAACTTATTTTTACTTAAAACATTATGTTTAAAAAATAATTTGTAGTTCTTACAAATTATTACAAATTCTTTTTTAAACATCATTTTTTAGGCAAAAATAAATTAACTTTTTAATTAATTTTACTATAATTATAACAATATTTATTTATATATTTATATGCATATTGATTTATTTATACATATATTTACTTATTCATATATTATGTATTTATTTATATTATTATTTGTATATATATATATTTTTTATCTCTAAGTAATAATGTTTTTGACAAATATTTCATATAAAATACTCAATATTTTTATATATTTTTTTTTCTCTCTGAATGATAACATTTAAGACAAACTTTTCATTTTAAATAATTAATAAAAAATTAGATATTGTTATATATATATTTTTTTATATATATGAATCTAAATTTATTTACAGCACCTTTCCTGATTTTAATATTCTACTCGGTTGCTAATTTTTATTTTAATTTTTGCATTGTTTTTTTTATAAATATAACTCTAAATTATAATATATTATTATGTAGAAATAAAAGAAATATAAAAATAAATCAAACAAACACACTGAATGTATGAATTTTCTATTGCAGTAAGAATATGGAGCATATAAGGGCATTTACTTGATTTAAACATTATCAGATTATAAGGACAATGGCAGCTCCTTAAGTTAATGTTAAACTAATATAAATATTATTAACAACTAGTATTTAACTGATAATCAACTAAAATTGAACTATTAATTGTTATCAAACTCTTAGCAATTTTATTAGCTTCATCACAACCATTAGTTATTTTTAAAATTTCAGTTTTTTGGATTTGTCACAAAACAATGACAAATTTTAAAAACTAAGAAAAAAATGGTATTTATTGTTATTTGTTTAAAATACAAAAAAAAACAAAGAAACGAACACTAAAAATTTTAACAATTTAGTTTATTAAAAAGTTCAATTTTTCAGTTGTCAAAAAGTGCCTGAAACGACAGGCAGGAGTACGTGAGCTGAATCGTTAGTACAAATATCCTTTCCGTGGCATATTGCAGTGTACTACTCCAGCGAAATAATGTATACTATGTACACAACAGTTTTATCATTTAACACAAAGTTTGTAATGATATTGAAAGTTCTTAGTTTGAAGATGGTTGTAATAAAACTTATTACCCAATTTAAAAGTGATGGAAATAATATAAAATAGCTGAGATCCACAAGAAATGCACACTATTAAATAGTATTCTTTTAAGATATCATTATTAATTATTTGAGTGATTATTTTTTAATGTGATTGGTATTTCTAAAAATCACTGATGTTGAATATTTGGCGATATCTGAAGCACCTCTAAGTTCAGCCTAAGAAAACACTTGACTAAATATCAAATTTTTGAGTTTAGGAGTTTTCTCACTATTTTATTTGCTGCTCTATTTAAAGATAGATTAAATTTCATAGTATATAGAATATTTAATTGAAAATTTCTCATAAAATCTTAAAAATCAATTTAATATATTTTTTAATTACAAAGAAAAGAGTTTAAGTTTCATTTTAACACTTAAGCAATATACTCCTATTGATATATTGATATTATATTATCAATGCTATTTTATATTTACATATATAGTAAATTGCATTGCATTTACTAAGAAAATATGGAATGAAAGTAATTTGCTAAAATGCAATATAAGAAAATTTGATATTTATTTTTATATTAAAATTGTTTTGGAAAATTGTTCAACATATTTAAGTTGCAATACGAAACCATAGATGCTGTGAATAATAAATAATTTTTGTATAAAAAGTAATAATAAAATTTCATAAATAATTTTTTGTTTCCAACAAATTTTAATTAGTGCAAAATATTACACAAAAAAAAATATTTTAAAATTTACCCAAATTATTTCAAATTTTGCAGTCAAATTTGAACTTCAGTGGTAATGAAGAGGAAAGTAATTATAAAAAAAAAAGATGAGTTAAATTAACTGATAAATGTGATTAGCTAAGCTAGTTGTAGTTTTTAATTATAATTAAAAAGAATTAAAATTTTTGTGGAGAACATGGAAACATTATTTAAAGTGTTAGATATGCAAATCTATTTATACGTTTGTAAATAGTTCTGTTTAATGAATGCTAATTAAAGTATAGTTGGTATTTTTTTAAGTATTTTATGTCGAAATGTCATTTGACATAACAATTAACTTAATTGTTTAACATTTATAAATTATTTTTGTTTTTTAAGAAGACAAGATAATGTTACATCAGTTTTAACACACCCAATGTTCTCACTTTGGTGGCCCCTTCGACTATAGAGACTCATATAAAAACTCTCGAGCTACCACTCTGCCATTTAAGCGGTAAAAATACAGATAAATGCACTCAGCTGGTTCTTGTGCACTGCTCAATATGATCTAATATATATCGCAATTTAGTAACTAAATGTTTATGTGACAGAAGTACTAAAAAAGCTTTATAGCTTCTCTCTCGACTAGAGAGACCTATATGAAAACTCTCGAGCTCTGCCATTTGTATAGGCAAAATATATAGGCAAGTGCACGCAGCGACGCTGCTGGTTATTCTGCACTGCTCAATATGATCTAATACATATCGCAATTTAGTAACTAAATGTTTATGTGAAACAAGTACTAAATAAGGTTTATAGTTTTGGTATAATTGGAAGTAAACTGGCTTTATTGTTGTTGCACTAAGACGTTACCTTACCATACTTATCTCTAACTACGGTAAGCAATGTCTGAATGCTTCAATAGTAAAGTCGAATATATTTATATATTATATTTATTCGAAGCTTATTATTTTGAATGTGTAAGTTTTTAAGACATTAAGTTTGTATCTGTGTGAAAACGCTTTTTCTCGTTTTCATGCTTTTAATTGCTATAATTTTTACAAGAACTTATTTCTTGTATTTATTTTGGTTTAATCGCAGTAAAATACTTAAATTATTCAGTATTTATAGACAGTAAAAATTGGCTGTGGGGGTTTCTTTTCCAACCAAAAACTTACTTTAACCTAATTCTAACAAATTTTTTTTAATTTGGTAGATTAAAATATTCAAACTCTTCAGTTCAACCACATCCTATTCTGGTCATATTCTGGTCATTTTGAACTGCTTACAGACCTGCTTCAGATATTCTATATAGGTACAAATCATGACTCTCTTATGAAGTAGTAGCGTAAATATAAAACTCCCATAAAAAATATAAACGAATAAAAGATAAAAATGAAAAAAAAAGCATTGAATAAATATAACTGAAGCTGAAGAAGAAATTTAAATAAAAATGTGAACCAAAACAATCACAGGATAAAATAAACAAAACAAATACCTTTACACAAATAATTTAAATTTGTAAAAAGTAAATGTTTTTTATGATTATTTTCATTTTTATTATTATTAAGATTTTTATTTTTTATACTTGTTTGCCACTTTTAATTTGTATTTATTTCATTCATTTTGTTGAAAGTAGAAACAACTTTTGGCCTAAAATTCCATAACGAAGGACGACGTATCCTTATTTATGCTGTCCTCGTATTATTGACTTAATACGCCAACAAAAAATCAACAAAAAATACAACAACAACAACAAAAAAGAGCACAGAAATTAAAATAATAAAATGATAAAAAACAAAATAAAAAATAAAAATAAAAATATTTAAATGGAAAAAGATATATATGTGTATATATGTACGTATGGGTAATAAGTATTATGTAGTTGCATATATACAATTGCTCAACTTACCCTCCTTCGGGTCTCGTAATCCAGTGCACCCGCCACATAAATGGCACCCGTCATGTTTTTAACCGCAAAAGCGCCGCCGATGTTGCCGCTTGTAATTTCATAACGTATACGTGAGGCTGTGCAAATAATGCGGATGAGTTGTTGTTGCCAATTCCAGTTCGGTGAGTGTACATGGGTGTGTACGTATGTTGGAGATTTCGACCAAGTCAAATATTTGTAATGCCGCAAAAGCAACGCAATGGAAAACATAAAAGAAATATGTACAAAATGTTAGCAAATAATACTAAAAAATATATTAATACATATATATCCCTTATATATATATATATTTTCTTTTTTTTTAAATTATTTAATAAAAAAACATTTTCATTTTTATTTCTGTTTTTATTTTTCTCGTTTTTTATTTACTTTTTTTTTTTGTTTTTCATTTTTTGCTATAAAATAGAATGACCCAATATACAATTCAAGTCAAAACTTACATTCATCATGATCCTTTGCTGTGACAGTCAAAACAGTATGTTGTATATCCTCATTCTCATCGACTTCGGCCTCGTAGAGGGATTTGTCAAAATATGGCGGATTATCGTTTTTATCAGCAATACCAATGCGTATGAATTTTGTCACTGTAATGCATAGAAAACAGCAAGTAAGTATTAGAAAAAAAAACCAACAGCAACAACAACAACAGCAACAACAATAGTAATAATTTTAAGTGTGAGCAATGTAAGCATAAAAATATCTTAACAAAATATGCGCTTTTACTACTAAAATGGAAGTACGGATGTGGTTATGTCTGCGACAGATATATGGGTATGTATCGTTCATATATGATATATGTGAGTATGTGTGAATTCGACAATTACACTACACTCATATTGTTACTGGTATAACAGTAATATATAATATAGTTGCTTAATATAAGTTTACTGCCCGTATATGAATGTGACTATTGCGCTCTTTGAATTATTCAATTATCACGTAATCCATATAAAAGTTAACTTTATCTACATTAAATAGTATATTTTTTTTTATGAAACTGTGCGTACGTACATTAATCTCATCATTACTTAATACGAAAGCTAAGTAGTGTAAGCATTTTAGCAGTAATCGTGCCAAAATGCTTTTTGTATCTACGCTCATAGACTCTTTTCCATGTATGGTAAGTAATTTTACTTAACTTTTAACTTTTACCCAATTTTTACATACATAGATAATTGAACTATATTTTTAATATTAAGTTAATACGAATATTCCAAGAATCCGTATTTCTTGTATTTTCGATTTTCATTTACAATGACTATTATTATCATGTTTTTATGCTTATTTTTCCATTTGATGCTTTTTTGCATAATATCATACCATTTTACTACCTTTCGCATTGTAAATTGTAATTTAAAATTTCTTAAAACTTGATATGCATACCAATTACCATTAAATTATTTTAACGTTCTTTATATCTGGATCAGGAATTAAGAATATAATATTGTAAATGATATTCACAGAGATGTGCCAATTACAGTAAATAATTGTAGTTATAATAGGATAGATAATACTATAATAGTATGATAAAGCAATCTTCTCGTATTCTCGTTAACCTTAAGCAATTGTTATGGATTAAATAAATTCCAATATTTTATAATAAATAATTGGAAAAAAATATAATGACATTAATATATTATAAAAAGTATTACATGTTTATGTTTAAAGATTTGCAGACTAAAAAAATTTCAAGTAAGTTCCAAAGAATTTGACAACGTATTTTAGAAAAGTCAGCTACTATAGAAAAATTTGTTTATTACTTAAGGTCGCTTTCAAAATCTAACAACCTTAAAGCCCGGTACCTTCAAACTAAGCTATATTGTTGTAATGCTTTGAGGAAAATATTGTACAAAACAACTGTTTTCGCTATCCAATAGGTGTACCCGCAAGATTGGAATCGTGCCATTTTTGAGGACTAATTCTGGCGAATTAATTATAGTAGTTAAAAATAATTTGTGTGAATTTGTTGTAGTCATATACATAAATTTGTATAAATTATATAAAGAAATTATAAAATTATAAATAAAAAAGCTGTTTAAATTCTTTAAGCAAATAGCGAAATAATTTGTGAACAGATTCTAGTCAAAAAGTCGAAAAAATTTACTGAACTATGCAAAAAGTGTTATAAAACCAGATTAAATTTGCAGAATTACACTAATGTTTCTGAAAATTTCTACTTTTTTACGAGAAAATATATTTGTAAAATAAATATTTTACTTATACGCAATTATTGGTAATAATATTTGTTATATCTATTGTTATATATCAAAGTAACTAAGAAAGTACTTAAGTGTAATATGACATTTATTTCCTGCAACACTTTTATAAACAATATTGACCGATTTGAAGAACAACGACCACTATTAATATATATATAAATATACAATCTTGTACAAAAATATAAGATTAAGCAATAAGCCAAATATAAGATAAAGAAACATACACCCCTCCTAACAAGTAGAAAGGTAAAGTTACTTATGCGTGGTTTGATAACTTTTTATTATCTAAACTATGATCTCAACAGTATCTCAGACAGGATATTCTGAACTTAAAGAATGTGGTCTCTCCTTGGAGTGGATCGAAACAATCAATCGGGTTTTTTCTGCCTGCACCAAAAAGTTTTGACTAACTCAGCCAAAATCCACAGCTTTTAAAAGTTCTTAATGTAGAACATTCAAGTTTTCAATCGGAAGGCAGACAGTCTATACAGTTCGGAACAGTTGATGTACATAAACTTTGGTGGCTTGGGCCAGATTCGTATAATACTATCCCCTTATGCATTACAATTTGTTATTAAGTTAATAAATAAATTTTGTTAATATATTTAGAATAAACTTTAAATTATAGAAAAGTGAATACGTAACTCAAAGAGTAGTGGAAATACACAGAGAATGTTTTTCCAATATTTACAAAATATGTAGAATATATATATATATTCAACATACATTTCAAAAATATTTCACTTTTTCTCAATCTTCTTTGTATTGTATAAAAATGCTTTAAGTAAATAATAAACTTATTTATTTTAATTTTGTTCTAGTAATACAACTGTTATTGAAACTATTCCTTAAATGTACTTTGCACACTATATTCCCGCCTGTCCGCAGATGTTGATGACTAGCTGGAGCTTAACTGTGCTCCGAGTCCGAGTATTCCCAGTTCGCTCCTTTTGTATTCCTGCAATTCCTCATAAGTTCCACTGACGGCCAATGTATTGTTATGGGCTTTCCATGACAAAAACTATTCGAGCAAATCAAAAAGGCATTATTTCAGTAAATTTTAGGTAAGCGGGAGAGTGCGGCTTGAAAGACTCAATGTGTATGTCGTCACAGCTTTTATAAAGAATGTTGGTCACGTATCTTAGTAATAATAATTTATTTACCCACATGCCTGGTATTAAATTAATTCCAATCATATTAAATAGGATTGCTGAAGTGAAATTGTGAGTGAGTGGTGGAATTATTTTTAATAAAGTCAGAAAATTTAATTAAATTTTACACTATTTTACACTAATAAATATATTTGTGTTTTCAAAATAATTAATTTGAATTTTAAATAGAAACAGTAGAAAGTTATTTGCGAGATTGCAATTTATATTTCAAAAGTGATTAAGGATTTTATTTTTGAATTTATTGTCAAAAAACTAAAAAATTTCTTATGTAAATATTGCGGTTTTGTAACAATAATTACAGAAAATATTAAATAATACATTGTCTTTAATTAATTGTTTTGTTTATTACAGTTTTCGGATATTATTTTAATTAAAATTTGTCATTAAATATTTATATGAAAATTAAATAAATTGCATCAATTAAAATTTTGAGAAAATATTTTAAATAGCAACATATTTATATTAAGTAAATAAATATTATGTATTTAATAAAATTATTTCTCAATAAATCTCTAAGATAATCATCTCGAAATGATATTATGTTTCTTAAAATAATTAAATTCATTTTTGTTTAATTTTTCAAGCTGAAACTGTTGAAAATTACTTATACTATATCTACTACTCAAAGTAAAATACGTGTGCATATTTACCTTTGAAATAAGTGATTATTTCAATTGTTAGTTTTTTATTTAGCACATAATATCTTTATAATTCTTTTTTCAATTTTGTATATTTCTATGAATTTGTGAGAGAGAAAACCTCAACATTCAACATTGTGTAGGAAAACCAAAAATAAATTAAAATTTAGATTTGTTACACAAATGAAAACCGCATTTTGCACAAAGCTCGCCCACTTTTCACACCTCCCCAACATAAATTTTCTGGTTACAAACTACACATAGCCAAACATAAGTACAAATAGCAATATACCAACTTAACTATATAAACAGACCAGAATTGTACACGCCTACAACGGATGGCTTTGAGGCGGTTATGGCACTACCGCATTAAATGCAGTAAGGAATTTTATAATTTTCTACGCCTTTTATGAGAGCTTCAGTTACGCATTGAATATAAGCACACTTGCAAAAAGTAAATAATTGCAAGACGTGTCCGCGGCACTGTTTGTGTTTGTTAAATAAGTGTAGTAGAGCAGGAATGATAACATTTACAATTTAAAAATTTTTACTATAGTTGTGAGTAAACAAAAGCAGCAGTACATAAACTTTAAGATAACCATAAAGTATCTTAGCATATCTTCGCTGTACTAACGTAGAAGAAACTTATTAAAAAATTGTTAATTTTTAATGTTTTTGCAACCTTTCTAAAGTAAATATTTAATATATTTTTATTATTTATCTACTGAAGGGTTGTTATAACTAAGTGTTATACATTTGGCTTTGCTTTGAAATGTCTAATATTTTTTTTACGACTGAAATAATTTATTGGTCTAATCATATTGTAATTGAAAAAAACAAAATTGAAATAAAAGAAATTTTAAATAACATATTAAATTTATACCTATATTCTAAACTTAAAATAATTAAACAAAGATTAAAACTTATATCGATACAGTAGACATAAACACAAATAACTTAAGTGAAGTGTTTATATCGCAATTATAAATTATAACTTCAGGAAATCTGCAGTTCCTGTACTTATTGGACTATCGACAGAACACTGAGTCATTGCACCGATGATTCAACGACACCGTCTTCTGACATTTTGACAGTGCAGGAGTTGTCATGATGTGGATGAGATACAATTCATTAATCTTCTTCTACTTGTGCATACAACTCTATGGGAATCTTGGGAGAGATAACTGACAGAGATAATGGAAATAAACTCTTCAGATCTATTCAGTTTTATCTGAACGACCATACAGTTTAACAAGCACAATAACAGTAGGTAAGAACGGTTAGTGTAACTCACCTCAGTCAGACAATTTTTGGAATTTTTACGGTGTCATTAAGTGCAATATATATGTTATTTTCGAAAGGAAACTACTTCAGCTAATCACCTAATAAATCGAATAAATGAATAGTATTCATGAAAGCAACTAACATATCAAATTTATATTCTATCTATTTACAAATATTTTAAAAATAAATAAAAATTTCGGACTAAGACGAAGGACTAATTTTATTGACTCATATTACACCTGCTTTCTTGATTTCACAGTCACAAATTGTATAATACAATATGTTGAATTCCTAAACAAACCAACTTTAAAATTAATTCAAAACCATTATAAATTTTGGTATTTATTTATTAGGTATAAGTTGAGCAATAAATAAATTTTAAAGTATATATAACAACGTACGATGACAATACAGACAATGATTATATATGATCAAAATTCATGCATGATAAATACTATAATCTATTTTAAAGTACTTTAAGACTACATCGGTTGACTACATCCTTCCAATCAGATAATTTATACAACTAAACGTTACTCTTTATTTTAGTATTTACTGTTTTAGTTTTTCTGCGAGTATGCAGTGGTGACAACGACATTTGACTGGCTTCAAGTTGTTAGATGAAGACATGCCTCGACATTGACACAGACATTTCTGGGTGGTTGCAGAATTATGTGCCGTGTCCATTATCATTGCTCTTTTCGAAACAGAAGATGAAAAACCGAACTGAGAATCTTCTTTCTTGCCTACATATCTTGCCGTTCGTTTGGAACATTCTTCATGCATATTAATCGTGTTATTAGAATGATCCAAACGATCAGCAACCTCATAAAACTCTTTACTATTGTAAGTATCAATTCTCTTTTGAAAGAGTTTAATCATTTGATTGGAATTTTGAGATATTAAATGGTTATGTTTTATAAATTTGTTATCCCATACATTATTTCCATTGAACACAGTTTCAGTTAACGACAAATGATTATGAATAGGGTACTTTGTGTTCTGTGTCTTTGGAAACTCACTTACACTTTCTACTAATGAGAGGTTTGAATTTGACAAAGAGTGCATCGAGATTGGTCTTACCCGGCTAGGCTTCACATCTTGCTTTTCATCATAATCATTAATCTCGAAACGATTTTTTGTATGTACACTGGGGTTTCTTTTGTCAAAATCTTTAATAAAATCGTTTAGACACTTTTCCAGAACATCAGTACTTTTACACGATAAATTGCATAAATCTATGTTGTATTTGGTAAGATTGTGTGACAAATGGTTAATATCTTCCCTTGTTAACTCTGGGACACGTACATTATTTGTTTTTTGTAGTTTTATGAAATTAACCAGTTTGTTTACGATGACAGAATTGTTTTGGAATATTTCATCAAACCTTTGGTAGCTGTAATTGCCATACTTTTGGTTGGCTTCCAACAATTGTCCTCCAAACTGCTTTATAACTGATTTATTAGTATCTGATCTCTCGATCTGCAGCATATGTTCCGGTAACTTGACTTTTTCAGTCATCCCTTCTCTGCGCATTTCATTTCGAAGAAACATTCGTATCAATTGAGCAAAAGCGTTTCCTAATTTATTTGACATTTTAATTTTTTATTTGAAAAAATTTTTATAAATTTTCCTACACAAAATTTTAAAACATTGTCTACGACAAAAAAAAAATATATGATTTTTATTTTTAAATATTTGTACGGAGGATATTTTCAACAATTTCAAAGATTGCTACCATTTTACGGTAAAATATACTTGTAAAATAAATAATTTACTTATACGCAATTATTGGTAATAATATTTGTTATACATTAAGACCGAAAAGTTTTCGGAAATTCTCATTTAAAATTCGCGCGCTGTATATTTTTCGATATTTTAAGTTTATGTAGTTTGGCAGCATTAAGGCACAATTACTATGCCAAAAATGAGCGCGATCTGTCAGACAGTTCGTTTTACGGCAGCTGTTGAAACCAGTTCACCTCAGTAGTGCGTTGCGAAAAAAACAATGGAAAAAAATATTGAACAAAGAGTTTGCATCAAATTTTGTGTTTCGAACGAAATTTCGTGTGCAGAATCGTTGCGAATGCTACCAAAAGGCTTATGGGGAATCAGTTTTATCGAAAACTCAAGTTTATGAGTGATACAAAGCCTTTCAGGACGGTCGTACGACCGTCGAAGACACATTTCGCAACGCACTACTGAGGTGAACTGGTTTCAACAGCTGCCGTAAACGAACTGTCTGACAGATCGCGCTCATTTTTGGCATAGTAATTAAGGACAGGGCTGCCAAACTACATAAACTTAAAATATCGAAAAATATACAGCGCGCGAATTTTAAATGAGAATTTCCGAAAACTTTTCAGTCTTAATGTATCTATTGTTATATATCAAAGTAACTAAGAAAGTACTTAAGTGTAATATGACATTTATTTCCTGCAACACTTTTATAAACAATATTGACCGATTTAAAGAACAACGACCACTATTAATATGTATATATATATATATATATATATATATATATATATGAATACTCTTGGACAAAAATTTAAGATTAAGCTAATTATATGATAGTGACATAAATGTGCCCGAAGTAGATAAACACTTTAGTATTTAGGAGTTATTATTTACGATGGCCAAAAATTATTTGTACTTTTTTCGCATGAGTCATTTAAAGTACAAATTTAAATACTAAAAACAATAAAAAAGTCAACAAATCTTTTTTGTTACTAATCTTTTCAATATAAAATTTTATTCGAGCAGTTTGAATAATTCACTGAACAATTTATATATTTTCAGTATAATTAATTTACGCTGCAGTGAATCTGTATTTTATTTTAAAATACAGCATTTTTTCAATTGTTAAAAGAACTTTTTAAGTACAAGATTTAAAAATATTTAATATTTAAAAATATTAAATAATAAAAATAATATATGAAATAAAATAGATGAGCATTAGAGTTTAGTTATGCGTTGGACTTCTAATTGTGACTTGTATGCTGTGTTTATTAACTGAAATGACCGTACTTAAGCTAAGTACATTAAACATTAATTTTTTTTCTAAATTTTATTAGTATGTTGAGGCTAGTTGAGTTAGCTTTACTCTCTATTAACTGCGAGGTTTCTTCATAACCACTTTTTACTCCATAAATTGATTATTGCTTATTACTTCATCAGACTAAGCAATAACTGACCTCAGAGCTACATACCTCCCCGAGGAGCCTGTAACCATTCTGAGATTCGATAACGCAAACTTTTTTTAATTAATATAAACAAATAAATAAAATTCTATTTAAATTGTGGAATTCATGCCGAACAACTGCAAAGGGTATGCATAGTTTTGTTTTTGCTCATAGTTGAAATCATTGTTCCATAAGGTAAACACAATTAAAATTTCACATGTAAGATTAGAAAAGATGTTGCACAATACTTAATGGAAGAAATACCTTCTCTCTGCAGCAGTTAACTTTATGTAATATACCAACAAATAAGCAGTAAGTGGAAAACTGCGAATTAAGTCGGAACTGGAGTTGGGGCGTACGTGGCGTATACGTAACCCAATTTTGGTGAATTTGCTCACTTGCCAAAAAGCGTTAAAGTGTATGTTTGTGCCAGTGCTAATGTATATAATGTTGAGTTCCGCACTTAAAATAAGCAATCATTTATATTCACGTATACTTCAATTACAAAAATATGTTGAAATGCTTGAAATCATAAAGCAATTGTTGCATGCAGTAAACGCCGAAACCTACTGAGATTGCTACTGAGATTCTATATTGAGAGCTGTTATGAGTTGAAGTGAAAGCAAGAAAAGACTACTTTCATTGAATATTTGCTACATTTTGCACTGATATCTGCATTCAGATTTGTACGTGCAGCGAACAATTTCGCATAGTGAAAAGTTAACAGTTTGGAGAATTGTTGTAATAACCATTGCGTAATGTGATGTATGTTTATTATAATTCAACAACACTGCAAATTGTTATGGCGCATTTGTGCCGTCATAGATACTGCATTTGACTTGTTTATTATTTGCTAAATGTTGAACTGTCATTGCCACCATCGCAATTGGCAGTAGCAATTGTGGCTGCAACATTCAAATGCAGTATGAGCATTGCATCAGATACGGGTACACATATATTTTGATGAATATATTGCATATTTGCATATAAACATAAATATAAATATGTCTTTGATGTATGTACTAATGCATGATGCATGCCAAGCGATTTAGTAACCGTGCTTAAAATAAAGACTTTTGTGTATTTAAATTTGTTTAGCTTTTTCGGATGCTTACTGCACAAAATGATCTTCAGAGTTGTGAACAAATTTCAGTTTCAATTATTATTTCTTATTTGACATAAAATCAACAAACAACGTTTTAACTAAATTAGTGTTTGCATTGCAAAAGAGTTGATTGCGTTGTTGTATTTAGCAGATTTCATCATGCATTGTTTGCACCTAATCGTTTGCATATGCACAGCTGAATTATCTGTTAGATACTCTCATTCATCCGCTTAAGCCGTCGAGGGTCAATTATTTGTGTAATTTGCGTTAACTACTAACATTTCTAGTTTGAATTTTTACAATATATTAATTACTACTTAATATTCTATTTAATTAAGGTATAAACCAAAACTAATTTTTTAAACATTTTCTGTTATTCATTACATTTATTATTTTAATTGAATTTGGAAATAATTAGCAAATGATGTGACTTAAATTCTAATTAAATTAAATAATTTTGTAAAATAATTTTAAAAATATTTAGGATTAAAGTAATAATATTAATTTAGTGTACTTTAAATTTTAATTACCCATATTTGCATAATTATTAAAATCAATTTAATAAAAATTAAATCCTGATGTTTTAAAAAAAATAATTAAATACTTGAATAAGACTCTCAATGAAATTCAATTACACATTCGGTATATAAAATATTAGAAAAATTATTAAGTTTATGTTAAAAAAGTATCAAAAAGTATCTTCAATCTTGATTAGCTGCAAAATCACTATTGAGAAAAGCTAATGCTGCTTTGCATATACAATTCTTTAATAACATAGAGTTGAACTCAAATAATTTTCAGTTATTATAACCCTAAGCTTAAGTCAATAACAGTATTAAATATTTTTGTTCCAAAATAATTTTTACAAGTGTTACTTTACTATTGTACTTAATTTGAAAAATATATAGCAATATGTGCTATTTTTCACACAAACTTCATATAAAAATATGTGAAAGTTCGATAAGTCTAAGTGTAAACATTAATAAACGTTCTTTATTATAAAATTTTGACATTTTATTTTTGATCAAATGACTTAATTGTATTTAACTAACAAGATCAAGCCAATAACAACAAGTAACTATAAGAGCATATTGAAAGGATTTGCAAACTAATAATATTTTATAGACTTTTAGCAGTAGTGAATTACAACAACCAAAAATTTTATGTATTATATTATTATATATTATTTCTTATTTTTTATTAACTGGCTTATCTGTATTTAACTGCCAACATCGAGCCAATAACAACAAGTAACAATTTAGCTTATCAAAAGTATTTGTAAACTAATAATATTTTATAGAGAGGTTTTGCACAGTAGTGAATTGCAACAACAAAAAATTCTATTTCATTTTTATTTAATTAATTGAATTCTGTATTTGTTAGAAGTTAAAAACTAATTATTTGTTTCTATTTTGATTTCTCAACATATAAGGAATATTATATAAATCTATAAATGTATATAATCAATAGAGTTTCCAAAAAATGTTCTCTCATATAGGTATATATACACACCATTACCAACTCTAAAAATATGTTTTCGTAGGAAAGAGTAGTAAAAATATAAATGTCTTTAAATGTTTTATAAATTGAACCTACTGTGCAAGTCGAATTAGACCACTGAACTATTTTATTGAGTCGAAAATCTTTATATATAATCAGTGAATATTATTGTTGTAAGATGTATGGTATATTGTAAAAAGAGAGAATTTTTTATTACTATAAAATCATGTGTTCAGGCACATTTCGTAGAAAACTCAATAAACTGAAACAATCACTATTATCTACTCGAAGCAAGTGCTAACATATATATGTCAGTATATATACTTGACTTCCTTGTGGTCAAATGTTTAAATTGAGTTTGTATCCGTTGTCCTTTTAGGTGAGCTATAAAATGTTGCACATGCATTGTCAATGTTTCCAACCATTTATGTGTACTTAATTTTTACGACTTCGGTTAGAGTTCTTTTTTCATAATTTTTTCCTTTTCTTGTGATTTTATTTTTGAACAATTTTACGACTTGCTTTTTCACAAAACTGCAAGACTGCTGAGCTCTTAAATTGTTCTGATACGATAAGTCATAAAAACGTTCTAGGACTTGAAACATTGTTGTGATTGTTAAACATTAAAACTACTCAAAATACTGTGTATTATTGATGAAAATTTATGGATAAATATGTGTATATACACACATTTCTTAATAAAGTCAAATAAGCGATAATATGAAAAATAGAAAAGAGAATTTCTATTTACAATACGTAATAGATCAAAATTTTTAAATTAAGTTAAATAGTTATTAATGTGATTA